TCACAGGAACGACCCGCTTTGAGAGTGCGCTTTTGATGTAATCTGTCAAATCTGACCAATCATAGGGTATACCAGCTAGGAGCTGGTATACGAGCTGGTATGCCGGAATGGGTCGTTTAAAGAAATGATTACAGGCTTCACCGCCCCTGCTTTCCCCAGTTTCCTCCCATTTCATTTTCGTCTTCGCGCTTTCTTAATTCAGCGGGCCCAACTCTCACACGTTAATAATAATAATAGTAATAATAATAAGAAGAGCATTATATAGCATCTATCGAGTAATAGATCTAGGCGCTTAACCAAGTGAAAAATTAGAATTAAAAGTTAATTAAAATACATAAATTTAAATTTAAATAAAACAGATATAAAATCAAATACATCTTCGTAATGACGAAAGTAAAAGTTCTTAAAAAGGTAGGTTTTAAGTTTATGCTTAAAAAGACTTAGATTCTCGCATGAGCGTATGTCGTCAGGTAGTTTGTTCCAAAGTTCGGGGGCTGAGACAGAGAATGCTCTAGACCCATAGGTCTTAAGGTTAAAGCTAACAGGATTCAGACAGAGCATAGAGGATGACCGAAGCAATCTCACGCCTTGCGGACCAGTGACAATATTGGTCTCATGCATCAATTTCTCGCACCTGCAAGTGGACTCACAAATCCAGACAAATTGTTCTTTAACACATGATTATATTAATGAAAATTCAATTCAACTTAAACGCAAAATATATTCCACGTGTTTGATGCTTGATGTGCTTCTGATGCCAATATTTTACAAATCTGGTTTTCACTAGACTGTAAGCAGTGGAATAATAAGTGGAGTCGGAAGAAAATGAAAATGGTTGGATTCTTGCAATTCTGTTTCCATGGATCTTAATTACAGCTGTATGACTCTACTTAATTTTTATTACCTCAGTCTAGGTCTTTATTTTCTATTATTATACATTCAACTCACTATCTGCTGATTGGCCAAAAGCGTACAGTGAATTTTCGAAATCAATGCCTGGGACATCATCTAGCTGCAGATTATGCAATAATCATGTCAAGGACACTCAAGGTCACGGGTAATCGTGTCATGTATGACCACGGTGCATGATTTCTAAGGGTAATCAAGTTCACGCGCTTGTGTTGCTTGCTGTCAGTGAAGAAGCAAAAATATGATTTCCAGGTTTGCTTCATTGACCGAGCAAGACATCGAAAAAGTAGTTGAAGACAAGGACTTACAAATAAAAAGGTTGACGAAGGTGGCAAAGGAGCTGTTTGCTGATTACATGAAAGAGAAAAAACTGAGAGAACCTGAGGAAAAGAAAGGGATGGCACAAACTTTCAAGACATTTTATGTCGAAGCGAGAAAGAAAGATTCGTTCAATGTATAATAAAACAATTATTAGATTCGGTTTTTTTGATATCCAGAATAATCAAGGTCTTGGTAAGGGTTATGAGCAGAAGCCGAAGGCTGAGGCTGATAACCCCTACCTCGACCCTAATTATTCTGGATATCACAAAAACCTCATCCAATAATTGTTTATTATTATAGAATTCTCATTACAGTTGAAGCTTCTGCAGTAAGCAACCACCTCGGCATGTAACTAGAGCTGGTCGCTTACGGGAGTGAACTCTCAGAGAATGTGCAGTTTTCAATATAGTGTTGATTTATGAATAAGACTCTGAGTGGTCACTTACAAGAGCTAAAAACAAAGCAAAAAAGTCCAGTTGGGTAATCCCAAAAGTGGTTGTGGTCGCTTGCCAGAGTGGTCGCTTAATGTGCTTTTCATCACAAAGTTTAAGTCACAGCTCAAACGGAGTTTCACAAAGGTGGTTGTAACTAGAGCTGGTCGCTTATGAGAGAGTGGTCACAAGGAGAGCTTTGACTGTATAATTTGTAGATAAAATTAATATATTTTATTGATTGCAATAGTGGGCCAGGTCCTGGTTGGTGATCACCATGAGGTTTATACAAGTTTTGCTATTGATCCAAAATAATTTTGTCAACCCACACGTCAATACCAAAACTGACACCCCAGTACAAGATCCAATCCCAGCCTGCTATGGGGACTAGGTTCAAATTCACTCCAACCAAACAGGACTGTACTTTGCTTCCAACTTAAGGGCCAGCATTCAAACCTCTCCCTCCCCAGTTTCACAATTCTCTTCTGCCCCCTCCCCACCCCTAACATTTCATTGGTCACCTCTCCCCCCCCCAGCTTGCATGTTTCAGCCATTCACATTCTTTTTCTTAAAATTTATTGAACAAGGGTTGCATTTGCCAGTTTGCATTGATAAATTCATGGCCCTTCAGTGTGCAAAGAAGCCTGGGGCTAGTGGATTTTGTGCCTATGTATTGGGCTGGTTAATTCTTTTCATAATTAACAATTTATGAATGAGGCTGAGTATCTTAGGGAGCATTCATAATTTACCTAGAGGGTGGGCTATGATGATTTTGAGGGGGGGGGG